GCTCTGTTTGTTTGCGATGATCTTCGTTCGTAAGGCAAGAACTTGACGACATATTGAAATTCTACCTAAGCTATCCGAATTCTATATAGTATTGATTTATACTCTGAATTCGATGGAGGGCGGGAGAAAAACGCGATTATTATTACACGTTTCCTTCATTGAAAATGTTACTAATGTTAAAGCAATAGTTTAATACGTTTACCCCAACACTCTACTCACACTTTTTAGAGCGAAAACAAAAAAAAAAACAAAAAAAAAAAAACGAAGAGGAAGAGGAAGAAAAATGCCATTATTAATTAATATAAAACCCAAGATTGATATTCGAAACTTTGCTTCTGCAATATTTATAACAAAACAATAATTCCAATCAATTTTGTAGACAATTTGTTTACTAACAGGAAAATAACATCCGTATTAGCAGAGATAAGAAGGCGTTTACGTAAAAAGCATGAAGAGCGGAAGAGATTAAAGTGTCAAGTCTGAAGACCAATTGAAATGAAACTGATTTTTAAATTTAGTGTAGCGAAAGAAATTTAAAAAAAAAAAAAAAACAAAGTAACGACAGAATTTTGATAGTAAAGTAATAAGTTTTGTTCTCTTTTTTCTTTTCACAAAGGACGTACTAATACATTTTATGGGAAACGCCGAAGCATACTTTTGCGCGCTACAAACATTTAACTAAACACAGACTTAATAACAGGATCTCAATGAAATGGATAAACACATTCGTATTGAATATAACGTATTGATATGTTATGCCTGCGACTTCACTCTTCTTTTTATGCATTTAATGTGAAAAATATCAATTCATATATAATTTGAATCTCAGCGAAATCAAACAGAAAACTTTTACATATAAACAAAAGTTTTGTTTCCCGAATAGCGGATTCTCATCGAAATGCGCGTAAACACACACACTTAGCCTCATTTACCCCCTTAGCCTTAAAAGAGAGAGAGAGAGAGAGAGAGATATCATCAGAAATTCTTTTGATTTTTTGCTAACAATGGTTTTGAGAATGTTGTTGTTTTTTATATTTTTTATATGTTTTATTTCTGTTTTCTTTTTGCTTGCATTTATATTTCACTTATCTGATATAAGTACGCAGCGATTTGTTTGGTATTATTCAAAAAAAAAAAACATGTTTAAATGGATTTTTCATGTATGGGGTACACACGCAGCATGTATTGTATGAATTTATAACAATTTCATGACGGATGTGTGCATGAATGAATGATGGTGAAGCGGCAGGTGCGTGAAATGTATATAGAGACGATGTGTACGCGCATCAAAAATGTATATCGTGTACACATAAGCTACTGTGTGAAACACCATTGAATGCATAAAATATTTTTTTTACGGAAATTTAATCAAATTTTTTAACACAATACAATTATGCATTTTTCCTTTATTTACATACACACGTATATATATATATATATATATATATATATTTATATTGTATTATTGTATATATATATATATACATATATATATATATAGCATAGTATAAAGGCTTTTAACAATAATGAAACTGAAAACTTTTTAATCGTAGATGTTGCCTTTACTGTTAAACAAAAAACAAAAATCTTCTAGAACCTTACACTGCCTTTAAGCAGAAATTCGGACATCCTTTAAAGCGCAAAATTGATGATATATTTGATCAGTTTTAATAGATAATGATTTCGATATTGTTTGGCCCGCGATAACTAAGGAGTATGTGTTCATAATTTCTTTTGTTCATATATTTTTCAATTTAATCTAGACATTAGTGACCCCGCTCTCCGGTGATAACATCCAGTCATATTTTAACGTACGCTAATGATGTTAAACTGTTTTCTTCCTTCTCCTTGGAATCGCAATCGTATCAGCTTCAAATTGATCTACATAAAATTGGTGCAGAACCTCTCTTTCTCAAGGTTAGGAAGTGATTCAGTACTGACTAGCTTTATCAATTCACACAAGATGGAAAAAGTAGATTCGTTCATCGTTTTTGGGCGTTCTATTGGGCCGAAGATTGTGTTTTAATCAGTAAAGCTAGGGTAGTGCTAGGATACGAGCTAGGATACGAGAAAGGCAACGTTTTATGTCAAAATCATATTCCGGCATGCAATTCGATTTGTTGCATCTCAGCACAAATAATGTGGGAAAAAATCAGGTGAATTTTTCGTTTCAACTTCGCGTTTACTATGAAATTGATTTTTTTTTTTTCTTGTTTTTCGGGCTGTTTGAGTTTTTGTATTAATTGTTGTAGATTTACACGTGTTGTACGTTTCGAAACGTACAAAAGTGAATGTTTGATTTTTACGGCATTTATGAAACAATGATTTCTGACTAACCAGCAGTCCGTCATTGCGGCAAATGAGGTTTGGATGCATGCACACCTCGCAAACGAAAATCGTGAAACAGGTGAAGCAAGACCGAAAAAGCCCCGGCATAGATTTTCAAAAATCAAGATCACGTTGACACGTTCCTCACGTTACGCGAGTGTTACGAAGGCGACGAAAGCAATAAAATTTGCGATTTAGAAAAATAAATAAATTTATTTTCATTTTATATTATAAATGAATTCACTTCATTTGTTTTTCCGACTAGTGTAAAGGTATCTAGATGTTTGGCTTCAGTAATACCAAATATGCTCGTTTAGTTTTTTAGTGTCCTTTAAAAATTCTTCAGAATTAATAAGCTATGATCAACAGAATTTTGTAATCGAGCCAATCATTTCATTCTTCATATCATCATTTCATCAAGAGATTCCGTTTAGGATAAATTTACGTTAAATTCACATTAATAAGCTTACGTTGTACACCGTAGTGCAATGAATAGGCAACCAGTAGTAAACATGATTAATTCCTACAAGATTTATGTATAGCTTGTTTTCTTCATTTAAGTATTAAATTTTGTGTGTATTATACCCGTCATCGGAGGATAAAGGTATATTTCCTTTGTCAAAATATTTGTAATATTGACAACGAAATTTCAAAAACTCCATAAAGTATATATATTCTTGATTTGCATCAAATTTTGAATCGATTTAAAAATGTCCGTTTCTTCATCTATTGTAAATATTCTCCTGGTCGCAAAAATTAAGCCATCGAGGTTAAATTTAGCAGAAACGTTGGAAGGTTGGCATAGAAAGTGGGCTAAACGGCCCAATTGAAGTGTATGTCTAGTGGATTAACTAAGCTCAGAAAATGGGAAAAATTGACCACGCCCACCAATTTCATAATCGCAATATCTGTGAAAAACCTTCTGCCCTTCGTAAAAAGGGAGATGCCGTCCACAAATTTGCAAAAGAATTTGAAAATGGTCTAAATCGGTGAAAGGACACGTTTATAATGCAAAAGCTGAGAACATCTTCACTTGCTATGCGCTTTGTTCACTATTCAAAGACTATACAGGACATACGATAAAAATTTGCACCTTTATGCAACAAGAATAGAAAAAATCAGCTCAACCTATTCAATAGTATGAAAATTCGTTTCTTAAGGGCTTCTCAGAATAACGGTAAAATGTATAAAAGATTTGGTTGCAGCCGTATATAGCATTCTTACTTGTGTTTATTATTATTTTTATTTCTAATTTTTTTGTTTTTTGTGTTACATAAAGAAGGTTAACCTTGAGGACGATAAAGACGCGTATACGTACACGTGTAATGTTTATAAAATTTTTATGCAAACTTTTTATGTTTTACGGCGAAAAGAGCGAAAAAAGTTCGTTGCTATAATTATACTTAATTGATGTTGGTTGGTATTCAGGCCAAAAGAGAGAAAGGATTAAAACAATACAAGACTGTCGTAATAAGCTTTTAATTATCATTAAAGACATGTTGCCTAGGTTAAGGCATGCAATTAATAACCGTGCGCACGTTAAGCCTGTTTTAAGATGTGTACGAATTAGCCTAATTACAAGTATGCAAGTTTTTGAAGTGAGTGCGAGTGAAAGAGAGAAAGGAAGAAGGAGAGAGAGAGAGAGAGAGAGAGAGAGAGAGAGAGAGAGAGAGAGAGAGAGAACGAGAGAGAGGGCAAATATAAATTATTTGCATTCATTTTAAATTATTTACATTCTCTTATTCAACACCGTATCTATGGGTTGATGGTCAAAAAATGTATTTCTTAAGAAACAAAAACTTGACCTAAGATAAAGCTGTAAACAAAGCTAATATACTTCAATCCCGATGAATAAAATAAAAAGTGTATATATAGCGACAATACATCACTAGCAGGTTCGAAAAAAGGACATTTAATTTATCAAATAAAGTGAATCTCTTTATATCTTTTCCTTAAAATGTGTCAAAATATATAAAAAAATGCAAAGAAATTTTTCAAGACATCAAAAATGTGGTTATAAAACTCACAAGTGGGGAAAAATTATATGCAGAAACAATGAAAATTAGTCGTTCTACTATTCAAAACTATTATAAACAATTACAATAACACAAATACCAGAGAGAGTAAGCACCGATCAGGGCCAACAAACAACCTAACATTGCGTGAAAAACGAAATATTATATGAATTGTAACAAGAGAATCTAAACCTAGTGCTGTTGATATTGCAAAAGACCTATAGATAAGGCAATTAGTAATCATCGTGAAAGAGTACGAAATTTTTTAAGATCCACCGCCCCCTAAAACCCTATAAAAACGATCGAAAAAGCGTAATTTGCAGTGACGTGTCCAAATTTAGTATATTCGGATACGATGGTAAACAAAGAATATGGACGAAACCGAGTATGCAAGCGATGTCAATCTAAAATTTATTTCTAAATCTGAAGCACGATGGCTCTGTCTTTGTTTGGGGATGCATGTCTATAAGTGACTACGAAAATCAGTTCGGAATAAAATACCAATTGGCTTATATTTTTCTAGTACTTTTACAATACCAACAGCACCAGGTTTGGGTTCATTTATTACAATGTTTTTCGTACCGTATGTAGACTTTATTCGGCTACTGTATCTATGATTCTTGAATTTAATGAGTTTCGTTTATTCTCCCATTTCAGAATTCTCGCTTGCTTAGTTGTCCTTAAAAACAGTAAGTACTTTAGTTGTCGATTTGAATTAAATTCGTTTTATTTTTAATTTTTATTTACTCATTACTCCTTTCCCTTTTTGTCCGAATTCTCTTCATATTTTCTTACGAATATATGCGTACATATTATATATTTTATTACTATTCGCGGAATGATGAAAATAACTTTATTTTTCTTTTTTTGCTTTCCGTTTCACTTATTTTTTAAGTTTGCCCTTTAACTAAATCCGAAAATATTGTGTATGCTCTCCGAGCAGTTTCTACAAGAAAAGCATAAAACTTTTCTAAAACTTTGTTTTCTTTAATAACAAAAACAATAACAATTACAAAGAAATTCGGAACGCACTTTCTTTAAGTGCATTATAGATAATTATGAGAATTAAGTATTAGTTTGTTGAGAGGAATGACTTGTAGAAATTCTTGAACATAAGCAAGCGATAAATAGTTTTTCCGAAATTATTCAATTGTTAATCTCTGAAGTTTTTCAAAAGTTTTTACCAAAACACTATACTGCTCTTTGTTCTGGTTAGTTAGTTGGTTGCCCTGTTGATTTAATGATTTGTTTTCTTTCGCTCCTTTTCTTCATTATATGATGTATTTTGTGATGGATGGAAGGGAGGACGGGTGGGGTTAGGCAGCCAAAAGGCATTTCAAATTAGATGATGAATTCCTGAAAGCGATGGTGAATTCAGATCTCCGTCATACAATTGAAGAATTATAATTGGTGATTGAATTGCCATCCAGTTGAGGATCATGTTCGTTGCAGAGAGAAATTGAAATGGCAAGCAGTTTGGGTTACTCATGGATTAACGCTGCGCCATCCCTTACAATAATTCGGTATACGGAAGTGTATTGTGAACAACTCGGGCGAATGAAGCAAAAGCTCATGAAGAAACCATCTGTTTTTGTCAATAAGAAAAGAACAATCCTTCAACATGACAACGCGAATGCTTACGCTGAAAAATTAACATAGCAAAAAAATAAGTGAGCTTGAATTAGAATTTTTACCGCACTTACCCTATTGACCAGATCACACGCCATCGAACTATTACCACATTTTCAGATCGTTAGTGCTAGAAAATTTAAAAAGGTTGGAGAAGTGAAAACGCTCATGAAAAAGTTTTTCACTACAAAATTAAAGGATCCGCGCTTTACGCTGGCAATAGTGTGTGAGAAAATGGGGGAAATTGTTTTGTCGACTAGCTAGCTATTCAGGATTTCTTTAATAAGCAAATGTTTTACCAGCCAGCAAAATAAATGTTGATTATTCTTCGGTCCCCCTAATATATATACATATATATATATATATGTATGTATGTATATTTAATGTATAATTATTGAATAATTAAAAATGTCGGCGTATTTGAAGTAGTTGTTAATAGATACATTTTTCTGCTATTCATTCTCTATCGATTTGGAAAATTTCTCTAATTCCCGTATGTAAGTTTATAAGAAAAGAAGAAGCATCAGTCGCATCAGCAGCAGCAGCAAGTAATCCCTTTTCCTTATAAAACACGATTTGTTTTCTGCTTTTGATTTCACTTTCTGAAATTGAAAGCAAACAAAACATAAAAGAAAAGGAAAAGAAGCAAAAGAAGTAAAAGGAAAAAGAAACAGAATAGAATTTCACATTTCCTTGAAAGTGAATAATGAGTGAATACAGTGCATGTTATAATGGCAGAAAGTACTTTATTTTATGATAACAATGCAAACATGCATTTAGCCCTGCATTGCATTCTCTCGCATAAAATATATCTGTATGTAAAGCTCTGCATGCTTTCAAAGAGGGAACTCCAGGGAAGAAGAGTACAACAAGCACGAAATAAAGGTAAATCCTTCTACGTTTGATTGCGTGAGTATGAGATTTAAAAGCAGCATGAGAGCAGTAAGCGTATAAGTAGTTATAACAACAATAACAATAAAAAAATAGCAATACATGCATGCATGTTTCATGTGTAGAACGTTGCACGTATGTACAAAGAAAACGGGAGCATACACAGTTTATACTTATTGTGTTACTGTGTGCCGGGAGAGCGTAACATAAAAAATCAATTCACAGGAATAAAGAAGGAAAAAGAGGAAGAAGAATAAAGCAATAATAGAAATTAGAAAATTTTAAATGAAACCTTCATAGAACCTTTCATACAATATTTCGTATAAAAAAATAAATATATAAATAAAGACTCTACCGCTTGCCAAGAGAAAGTAATAATAAAAACATATTTTAAATAACACAGCAAGCATCGCACTCCTAACTGAGTATAGCTTGCTAGCATTCACTGGTAAGTGGATTATTAAGAAATAGACGAGAACAAGTGAAAACAAAAGTACGGAAAAATAATTTCCCGGTAAGGAAACATTAACGATAGCTAGACGGGTGGGGAGGACCCACATGCTTATTGAAACGCAAAAAGCTACTTTAAATATCTTAGGCGTGTTGCAAACATATATTTCTGTAGCTTATTTAATATATTTATATGGTTGCGATATCTATTAACCTATTAATTATCACATTTTTACATCATTTTTCGTTAATTAGATCAAAGATTTTTAGAGCTCTTGAACATAAACATTTTTTAAATGTTTACGCTAAGGGCGATTTAATTTTGCTCCTGCTCTGTCCATTTCATAAGAAAATATGATAATTCACAAAATTATATTTTCAAACAGAGCACAGTCTAGACGCATATCATACATTTTTGTAGCCATCACCGAAGTATCAAAATTTTGTCAAAACGTTTGCAACGACCAGAAGTAAACTTCAGAGATCTCACAAAGTATATACTATATATATTCTTAATAAACATCAAATTCTGATTCAACTTAAACATGTCCCTCCGTCCGTCTATCCTAGGTGAATCTGAGAAATTGATCAGCATCAAATTTATCTGTTAAATTATAGGTCTTATGTTACATAAGCTGCTCGACCTGCTCAAAATAATTTCACTTCTTGTTATCCATTTATTGGGATTTAAAAGTTGTAAAAAATTCAACTTTTCGTATTCTCTTTAGATGTATAAATAAATCATTGCCGCATTCTGTTAGAATGATGAAAATCGGTAGCTAGTGATAGACAACAAACTTGAATATAAAAATTTTTTACGGAAGGATGAGGGGTATATTTGTTTTGTCAAAACGCTTGTAACGCGCAGCAGGAAGCATCAGACACCCCACAAAGTATTTAAATTCTTGATCATTATCAATTTCTAAATCGATTTAAGCATGTCCGTCCGTGTAATTCTGCTGGCCGCAAAAATGAAGCTATCGACCTTAAGGTAGGAAGTTCTTTCACGCTGATTGGTATTGAAAATGGGCCAAATCGGTCGGAGCACACGCCTTAATTTTTTGGTTATTACTCAAAAACTAAAGCAAATAAATGTAGAAAAATTTGAACGCATATTCTATGGACGATACTGTAGCAATTGTGTAAAAGTTAACCACGCCTGTCCAGTAGAATAGTGTATCAAAATGCAATTGCTATGACGCGCAGAAACAAGCTTCAAAACCCCTATAAAGTGTAAAATTCTCGGCCAGTTTCAAATTTGGAATGCACCTAAACATGTCCGCCTATTCGTCGGTCCATCTGTCTGTGTGAGCAAATGTTTAGTGTCTGCGGAAAATATCCTCCCGTTAGCGACAATGAAGCTACTCGCAAAAGATTTTGAAAGTAATCTGAACTTTTCACAGGCCATACTTACAACACCCAGACGCCTATGCGACCACGAAAATTTAGTTCGTTTACTGTTTTTGTCTTTTCAAAGATAACGATGATGGGTACAAAAGATTCGATCACAACTGAATATAATTTTCTTACTTGTATTTTTTTTTTTTTTAATAAAAAAGACCAGTGATGATTTGTCTTGTTGTAAAACGCAATCGATACAGTTTTGATGGACATTTTTTCCATTCCGTTTGTTAATAACCGGGTTGATTCGGCGGTTGGCTACGCCCATTACGGACAAGAAATTATTGACCGTATTTTTGCATTGGATGCGTGGCTATCAATTAAAGAAATTTAAAAAGAAAGAGAACAAAGACAAAAGCCATGAAGGCAGCTATATATTGTTCAGGCCAATAGTTGCATACTCATACTTCTGGGGAATATATTAAAAAAATTTATAGTAAGATATCGGTCTCGTTTATTGTTACGATAAGAAAAGGAAGCGAGAAAAGAGAAAAAAATGTTTTCATACGTTTTGGTTAATCTAACGTATAATTTACATGATTTTATTTGCTATAAGAAAAAAAAAATTGTTAAATTGCTTTAATTATTGTTGCATTTTATTTTCTTTGTTCTTATGTGTACAATAAAAAAATAATAATATTAATAATAATTAATAAAACTCACCCGAATACGGCATCGTATGCGCATTCTTGCGTACATCTTTCGCAGTGATGTGCGGACAAATATTTTTTTAAAATAAAATTATTTATTTGAAATAGTATTTGCTTTCCTTCACTTGCCTTGATTTTTCGTAATTCAATTAACTTCTATTTCCCATTTTGTTAACTCTCCCGCATTTCTTTCTCTCGTTTTTTTTCTCGTTTTTATTATTTCCCGGGCTCTTGTACAAAATGGTTTTCATTTGGTTTAATGTAAAGGAGAGGGGTCAGGATAAGGACTTTATCTTACTTTGCTTTAGGTTTCTTTGCTTCTTGATTTTTATACAATTTTTAATCATTGTCTTTAGCAGGTCGGTTTACGGATGAACGAATTATTTCAAAGTTTTTTTACTTTGAAAATTTCTTGTTTGGTTTATCCGCCTAAAATCTCGTTATATTTTTTCGAATTATTTTCTACCCTCTCCCCGATTACAAGCGTGTCTCTTCATCCTCTCTGTCTTTTTTCCATGGATGCCATGCTCGAATGCCATTTCGTGTAACTCGATATAATATTTAAAGCCGACTTAACGATTGCGACCAAATCTTTTAGTCCTATTACCCGTCACACCCTGTAAATGATTGAAAAAAGGAAAAATAATAAATTTTCATATTCTATATTA